GCAAACCCTCGTCTTCCAAGCTGCAATCACATCCAGGCCACACTGTTCATGCGCTGCCCAAGGAGCCCAGTTGCACTTTCGGTGCAGGGCCAGTAACTGCCTAACCCTCTCTGAGTGGCCTTATGACAAACTCTGGCTGCTCTGACTCTGCATTTATTTCGCTCATTATGAAGTTTTCATGACAAAAATATAACCAAGTTACAGAAATTTTAGTTAAGGGGGAGACTTACCTTTTGTCCCCAAATCCTACAACTTGACCCAAGCAGTATGTTTCCTCCTAGACTCTCCTGTGTTTGCTCCATTACTGCTTGATCTGCCAAGAGCCCTGTGAATGCCAGAGAGCATCTTGTTCCTGGACCATTTTCCTGGTCCCACTGGCCAAAAACAAATGTACTTCTGCTGTGTGTGTTTCAGGAATGTTTTCCTGAAATATGATCCTGAAACAGAACAGGAGGAAACCCACATCCTTTCCACACTGCGTGTGAACACCTAAGCATCCTTCTCGTTCTTATCACACACTTATCCTGTGAGGAGCAGGTCAAATGTCCTGAATTGAAGTCCCTGGGCCACCCCCAATGAGCTGTAAACTTAGGCTCATCCCTTCACCTTTCTACGGCTTTCCTCACCTGTAAAGTGAGAATGAAAAGGTAATACAAACTTATTAAGATCCAGGAGAATCAAATAAGATGATGTACAGATAAGCTGGAAATAATTTTGACCAGTGGACGTGTGTCCAGAGGAAATCGCCTGTGCTAACACGGTCTGGGCCTCAGGTGGGTCCTGTGCCTGGGGCCACCAGGATTCCTCCAGAGAACATCTTAGGGGCCACGACTACTGCTCTCCCAACTGCTATTTGCCCTGTCAGCAAACTTACTGCTCCAGGATATGTTCTGGACACTGGTGACACAAATGAATCAGATCTTATCCCTGTCACCCAGGGCTCACATCTGGTAGGGGAGACTCTGGAACGGCAGACTCGAGCCAAGGTGTCTCCCAGGACAGGAAGATGACCACGGGGCTGTAGGAGCCTAGAACTAGGGTTTCTCCCTCTCGTGTCTCAGGCCATAAGGCCTGAGGTTGGGCAGGGCGGTCAAAGGAGGCGGTACTCACGCCAGAACAGCCCCAGGGGGAGCTGGGTCACCCCTGGTGAGGCCCAGAGCCATGGGGCAGGAAGACTTAGATGGGACATTGTGCCCTGGAGAACACTGATTTGCCCAGGTCTCTCAGTAAGACAACTGGGAGCAGAACCTAGAACTGAAGCTCTAGAAGACCAAGCCAGCCTCTCTGCAGAACCTGAGTCCAGTTTTCAGAAAAGAGGGAATCAGCCCTGGCCAGTTTGGCTCAGTGGTAGAACGTCAGCCCGCGGACCAGAGTTGCAGGTTTGATTCCGGCCAAGGGCACGTACCTCGGTTGTAGTTTGTCCCCTGCCCTGGTCGGGGTCATGTGGGCAGTAACCAATCAATGCATCTCTTTCACATTGATGTTTCTCTCTCTTCTCCCTCCCACTCTATCTGAAGATAAGTGGGAAAATATCCTCGGGTAAGGATTTAAAAAATAATAATAAGCACCAGAAACGAGATAATCAGAGGCCTGGGTTGTCCCAACTCTGGTAGGTGACCCTGTGCAAGGCCCCTCTCTGGGAAACAGCCTGAGCATCTAAGTGTGAAAACCTGAGTCCCAACTACTGAAAACCTAGATCGGTGTTCAGCACCAGGCCCTATCCCCCCACCCCCATCAAACAAAGATGGAGAGGCCAGGTGCAGCCTTCCCAGCCACATACCCTCTAAGCATCTGCACCGCTGTCTTTGCCAGCCCCTCTTCCTCCAGGCCCACCTCCTCCCCCAGAATGCCTTGGCCTGTCTCTGGCTCCTCTGGGAAGCATTGCTTCCAAGTAAGGGAAGGTATGTGTGCTCCCTCAGGTCAGGCAGCTGCACCCTAAGGGTGTGCTGTCAGACGTGGCCCACAAAGAGGAGGCTTAGGGGAGCAGAGGGGTCTCTGTCCCGGTAGTTGAGTCAAATCATTTCCTGAGCACCTCTCTTGGGTTATCTAAGCAGCCTTCACTGCAGTCCTGTGAGGTACTTGCCACAAATGGTATAGCTGATAACCTCACTCCTGTGGCCCCGCATGTCCCTCGCTTCGGAAGACACTAACCCTCCAAGCTCAGGCCCAGGGCCCAGAATAGAACGAAGATGCAGGGAGGAATCACTCCTGGCAGGGGGCACACCACTGGGGCACGGGGGTGCGAGGATGCCATGCAGCTCCGCCTAACCGGAGCCCAGATTCTCTGATTTAGTTTTTAACTATAATAGTCACAGTCCAGCTGGGCCAGCTGTGCGATTTCACATCAACCTCTCTGAGCCTCAATTTTCTTACTGTGAAAGAAATACCTGCATCACAAGGTGGTTGGGAGGAACAAATAAAATACCGAAGGGTAAGTATGGATCCCAGAGCCGGACACACAAGCACTAGGCAATGGTGGCTACTGGAAGCGCTGGTCTTTCCAGGAGACAGAGTGGCCTCAGCAGATACTAGGCAGCTGGTGACTCCTGGTGGCCACCAGAAGCCAGGGCATGAGGGCTGGGCCTTCTGAATTTTAGTTTAGAAGAATCCTAGAGCCTTCAACTGTTAGGCTTTCAGGGTCCTTGAGCAGAATGTAGCCACTTAAACATTTCCTGAGGCTTTGTCTGTGCCAGGCCTGATCCCAGGGAATACTCTGTTCCCATCCTGGTCTCCTCCAGGAGTTCCCTGCTGAAAATGGAGGGAGGCAGACACAGGGACTACAGGCCAGAGGAAGCTCCGGCAGCCTGGCTCATGAAGGGGGCCTCTCAGTGAGGGGATCTCGAAGGACAAATTTGAATTGGGGGCTGGGAGGGAAGAGCATTCTGAGTAGAGAGAAAATCACACATAAGACACATTCAGAGTAGCAAGGAAATGAAGATGCAGCTGAGGCCAGCAGGGTGGATCCAAGGACTTTGAAATTCATGAGAGAGTTTCTCTGCAGGCAGCAGGGGACTCCACAAATGGTTGAACATGTGACCATGACCCCCCCTTAGGAAGTCAGGATGGCAAGGAGGGGGCTGGTGGGATGACAGCGGGTCTGAAAGGTGGCCTGCAGTGGCAGCAGGGTTGGAAAGAGACACAGCGGCCCCGGCCTTGGTGCTGAGAGGGCGTGCAGTGTGAGGGGAAGAGGAGTTTACGTGGGTGAGGAGGTGGTGAACTCCAGGAGGCAGCTGGGTATGTCACCTAGAGCTCGGGACAGCTGAGTGGCCAAGTCAGCAGATTTAGGTATTTAACCAACACTTACACAACCTTTGACATGTGCCTGGAGCTTTACAAATGGGGCACAATGGGGCCTTACACCAGTCCTTGAGGTGCACACAATCATCCCATTTTACAGAGAAGGAAACAAGGCACAGAGACGTTAAGTAATTTGCTCAAAATCATTCAGCTATGAATAGTAGACCCGAGTTCACACCTGGCTACATAGTCCAGGCTCTTAGCTCTCTGCTGCCCACGCTGGAGGAGGCTGAGAGCTCTAGAGTGATCCCCACAGGTCAGCCCCCATCACTGGGGACAGTGGCCATGCTGCTGATTCCTCCCCCATGCCCCAGGTTGATGAAGGAAGTGGGGTGCCCAGGCTCACCCTGTTGGGTCTGCCTTCTACTTCGGAGGCTTGTGAAGGTTGAATCTGATGCCGATGTAAGCAAAGGCCCAGGCCAAAGCCCAGTCTACTGCCCTCCCAGACTCACAGACACATGGAGGCCCCCCCACCCATTCAGGCTCTGCCTCTGGAGCAAGAACTTGGCTGGTCTAAAGGCAGATCTGGTGTAACAAGTACTTGACATCACTCTCCAATTCTTTTTGTTGTTAATCCTCACCCAAGGATATTTTTGCATTGATTTTTAGAGAGAGTGGAAGGGACGGAGGGAGAGAAAGAGAAACACCGATGTGAGAGAGACACATCGATTGGTTGCCTTCCGCATGACCCTGACTAGGACCAGGGATCAAACCTGCAACCCAGGTACATGCCCTTGACTGGAATCAAACCCATGACTGTTCAGTCCTCTAATCACTGAGAAAACCAGTGAGGGCATCCAATTCGTTAGGACCCCTTCCACCAGGGCCTTTCTGGGCTACCTCCTATACTCCCTCCTCAGACTCCCAAGGCCCCTCCTCAGCCTCAGTCTACCCTGGGTGCCTGAAGGAGGGCCCACGGTGTTGGCTTGACTGCAGGACCAGGTTGGACCAAGAGTGGAATTCCCGTGGCTCCAAGAACCTCGGCCTTTGCTGCCTCGGCCTTTCTTTGTGCTGTCTCCTCCTAGACTTGAATAGCACAGAGGCCGGGTGGCTCTGCCTAGCTCTGCAGGAGGAGGACAGGGGTCCAAGCCTGGATTTCCTCCAGTCACCAGCCCCAAGGCCTCTGTTCCCTGAATGCTACAAAGAGGCAAGCACACAGAAGTTTAGATGTAATTCTTTTCCACTTTTGGCAAAGAAATTGAGGAGACAGAGATAAGCAAAAAGTACTGTAATCTCCCCCAAACCACACTTTGTTTTTATTTATTTATTTATTTATTTATTCATCCATTTTTTGTTCAGGTAGAGTGGGAGGGAGAGAGAGGAAGAGAGAGAGAGAGAAAAAAACATCGACATGACAGGGACACATTGAGTGGCTGCCATCCGCACGACCAACCAGGGCCGGGGACAAACCGCAACCGAGGTATGTGACCCTATCAGGAATCGAACCCGGGTCTCTCTGGACCACAGGCCGACGCTCTAACTGCTAAGCCAAACCGGCCAGGGCCCACACATTGTTTTTATTTTATTTATTTATTTATTTTTTTTATCCTCACCCGAGGATATTTTTCCATTTTTTGTACAGATAGAGTGGGAGGGAGAAAGAGGAAGGGAGAGAGAGAAACATCGACGTGAAGGGACACATCGAGTGGCTGCCACCCGCACGACCAACCAGGGCTGGGGACAAACTGCAACCTAAGTACATGCCCTTAGCGGGAACCGAACCCGGGTCTCTCCGGACCGCAGGCCGACGCTCTAACCGCTGAGCCAAACTGGCCAGGGCCTACACATTGTTTTTAAACAAACAGGTCCTGCCAGATCTTCTTTCCCAACTAAATGCCCCGAGGCTACCCCTGCCGCCACTGGGCCCACTGGCCTTGGCGCTGCATGGTGCCGTAGGATGCTGTTCTCCGGCTTCAGGCTTATGCAGACTAGCCCAGGCAGGGGAGGTCATGGCACTAGTGCCAGAGCACAATCTTCCTGGCCTGGTCCACGCTCACCACGTGGCTCCCAGAGTGGCACCAGGCCGCGGCATTGACAGCAGCGCTGCGGAGAGAGAGGGCCAGGCTTTAAGGGGTGTCAGGAGCTGGACCTGCAGCCTGGTGCTGCCCCTCATTCTTGGACCTGGGCAGTTTGGAGTGCTCTCTGCGCCCACTTCCTCACCTATAAAATGGGCTTACAGGGCTATGGAAAGGACAGACCCAAGTGCACGTGGAAAGGCATCTGGTGAACTGGGAAAGGCTCTGGGAGGTGAAGATATGGAAACGGGCTGGGCACTCCAGGGCCCAAGCATGTCAGAACCTGGAATTGGCTCAGTAAGACGGGCCGGAGGAGTGGTGGGCAGGTGGGTGATGGCCATGCTCACCAGTGGGGTCCCCGTAGGCTACTCTCCAATTTCCCAGTGTCTACATCCCAGATATACAGGGCTCCGTCCCAGGAACCTGCCAGTGCGTAGCTTCTGTCTGGGCTGCAGTGGCCACAGCGGAGCAAAAGAGAGAGAGAGGAGAGCAGAAGTGAGGACACATGCTGACACAGTCAGATGGAGCACGGATGGGCACAGGCTCTCATGTACACACCTGAACACGGCTTTGGTCCCGTCAGAACCGCACTTGAAGCCATCAGCGCTGAGGACAGACACAGTCAGGTCAGAATGGAGGTGGCTGCCAGTCCCTGCCCTCAGCCAGGAACTTCAAAAGATTCCTCAGTCTGTCAAGGGGTCAGCACCTCAGCAGGCCCTGGTCCAGAAGGGCCTCCAGGGAGGGTCCCCTGCTGACAGGCCCTGGAAAGCCTTTTGCAGGGGTTAAGAGGCCCAGCTGTCCCCACCAAAGCCACAGGTTCAGAGGCCATGAGGCAGGTACCTGAACACCTGGCGGATATTGCTGACACGCAGGTCGATGACCTTGAGTGTGTTGTCACGGGAACAGCTGAGCAGATGCAGCTGATCATGGCTGAGATTCAGGGAGGTGACCCGGCCTTGCACAGGGATGACCTGTGTGCAGCGGGGCCCCCTGTGGAGCAAGGACAGAGACGGGGATGAGGAGCAGCCCACCCGACAGGGCCACTCCTGGCCCACTGGGACCCCTGGCTCAGAGCACTGGGGCCAAGCTGACAGTGACGAATCTCCCACTGCATCCAGCCCTGGAACTCTTGGGTCACTGAAACAGTGCCAGAGGGACAGCAAAGGAAGTCTGTCTTTACATGTGTGAAAGAGCAAGGGCGTCAGCCTGCCACCTCTGCAGACCAGGAAGGGAGCCCGAGGCAGGCCTGGCACTGGCTCCACACTGGTTTTCACTTACCATTCAAGCCCAAAGTGGGGCTTGTAGGTTTAAAAAACAACTAAAACTTGCCCTGGTCTGTTTGGCTCAGCAGTTAGAGCATCAGCCAACAGACCAATGAGTCACGGGTTCGATTTTGGTCAAGAGTACATGCCTTGGTTGCAGTTCAGCCCCGGCCCTGGTTGGGGTTGTGCGAGAGGCAGCCAGTCAATGTGTCCCTCTCACATCGATGTTTCTCTCTCCCTCCCTCCCTCTCACTCTATCTGAAGATAAATAGGAAAAAAAAAATATCCTTGGGTGAGGATTAAAATAAATAAATAAAATAAAAAAACAACTAAGACTTTTGTTGCTTCTGATAAAAATGTGGTAACTAAATGGGAAAAGGAGCTTGTAGGTCTTGGTTGCCCAGGCCCTGGCAGAGCCCAGCAGTTGGAAGGAGAACCACTGAGACAACACAGGTCCACCAGCTAAGCCTTCAGAGGGCCAAGCCCAGCACAGCCTTACTTCCCTGAGGTACCTCCATGGCTCCATGGCCAAAGGAAAGAGAACACGGGAGCCCTGTCCCTATGCCTCCACCGTGCAGAGCCCACGCCTGTCACCTGCTGTCCCAGAACCGGATCTTCTGGTCATTGTGGCCACTAATGATGATATGGTCCCCACACACTACGTCATTACAGTAGGAAAAGACATTGATAGTCCTCGAGCCTAGGGAACAAGGAGCAGAGCCCCAGACTCAGAGAAGGGTTGTCAGGAGCCAGCCCACTAGACATATAAGAAGCTGAGGCCCAGAAGTCCCAGAGGGGCAGTATCCTCCCAAAACTAGAACCCAGGTCCCCTGCTTCCCAGCCCAAAACCTGAGGTCAACAAGAAATTGACAGAAAGCACCAATGGGAGATAGAGAAGGAAGGGCCTTGGGAAGTTTCACCCCAAATGCCTGTGAATCTTAGAATCACTCCCAGAGAGCCCCTCATGGCCCAGCCTGGAGGGTGGGGAGGGTACGGGCAGGGGGTGGGGGCTGGGACTCACAGTAGGCACGGCCGAGGTCCCACTCCTTCACTGTCCGGTCTCGGCTCCCAGTCACCGCCTGGTGCCTTGTTAGCTTGAATTTGGCAGCCGTCACCTTGTCCGTGTGACCAGACAGTGTCTCCTGTCCCACCCATCCCGTATATGTTTCAAGGGCATGGCCATAACACACCCCTCTAGGCCCAAGGCATGACCCCTGACCCCTGGCTGCCGCCCCAGGCAGACCTCACCTTGGACTGTGCCTCTCCCACCTTCCAGAGCTGAGCAGCCTGATTGTAAGTAGCTGCCAGTACCTGGGAGCCCTAGAGAGACGAGAGAAGGAGAGGGCCTGGACCTGGGCCCGGCTCGAGGCAACATCCTTCAGACCAGAGGGTTGGGGCGGGGCTGCCTCGAAGCTTCACACAGCCCAGGTCACCCAGGCAGGCAGAGGAGCCTCTGGGCCCAGGGAGGAGGGTATGAGTGTCCAGTTCTAGGACACCCATGTGTTTTCTCTGGTCCCAGAGTCCCCACCTGCCTGGGGTGGAGACTGGGGGAGGGGTGCATCTCATGCCACCAGGGCAAAGTCCCCTCACCGAGGGGTCGAAGTCCACACTGGTGATGCTGCCGCCAGCTCCTTCAAGGGTTTGGTTGGCTTCCAGGCGACCTGGGGGGTACCGGAGGAACAGGTGGATTGAGGTCACTAACTTATGAAAATGAGGAGCTGGGAAAATCAGTCTTTCCCAATTTAGAGGACAGAATTGCTAGGGTCTCTTCTGGAGGCCTGGACTGCACCTTCCCAAACTGCCAGCAGGGGACCCCAGAGGATAGCTGGTCATTCCACAGCGCTAAAGAAGACCAGAGAAAAGGGACTGTCCCTAGGTCACACAGCAAACCAGGGCCAGGCCAGCTGGAGATTTGACTCCTGTAGGAAGCCTCCAGGAGCCAGCTCTGACTTCCCAACACACACTCCTCTACAGAGCCCAAGGTAGCCAACTAGTGTTGGTCTCTTAACCGAGTTCTGAGAGTTCAAGTGATAACAGGACAAGTGGCTTAGTGAACCCCTTCCTCTCCTAACAGGGACCATCTGAGTTCAGCCCTCCTCATCCTGCACGACTGGACCCCAGGAGCTGGAAGGCTCTGCCCTTCTTCAGAAAAGTGAGTCCAACACTCTTGCCAAGGGATGATGGCTACTGCCCACAAGAATGTTCCACGTGAGGAAACATAAAGAGGTCCAAGACCTTTGCCCACCACAGAACAAGCTGAGGGTGCAGAGAAAGCATTGGGTTGGCCTGCAGGGAAAGGCCCCTCACCTCCCACGACATTCCAGAGGTGGATGAGGCGATCAGCCCCTCCAGTGGCCAGGAGGCTGCTATTGGGACCAAAACAAACTGCATTGACCTCAGAAAGGTGGGCATCCTGTGGGGAAAAGGGGAGATTGGTGTCCCTGATCTTTTCCATACAGGCCTCTTTGTGCACACTCCCAGGTTCTCTCTCATGCACCCATACACACAATAGGGTCTCATCATCTCTGCCTAGACCCCTTACAATCTCTGCAGCAGTCTCCCCTGACAATACCCCATACTCCCGACTGGCCTCCTGTTCCCCCAGACTCCTGTCTCTCCCTCTCCAGTCCATGACCTCATTATAAAAGGCTGAGGGGCTCCCACCACAAGCTGTGGCAGAAAAACCCCTGCTCCTGCTTCCCTGGCCTCCCTGGACCACTCCTGGGGCCCACACTCCCCATATCAGCACCCCATGCACATGGCCCAGACACTCACCAGCACGTCCTGAACCAAGGTAGGAAGTCGGGCAGACACACACACAGGGATGCTCTGATATCGCTGCTCGGGGACTCCCCCAATTGAGTGTCCTCTCCTCTTCTTGAAACTGGGGGTGGGGGAGAGTCAGGAGGGCATTCAGCAAGTCCTTCTGACAGGAGAGCCTCAAGCTCCTCTGAGGCAGGGACAACAGGAAGCAGACATAGAAGGTGACAGAACATGGCCAGGAGGTGCAGGGAGCACGGTCCCCATCCTGGCCTCTGACCCCAGGGGTCAGTGTGGAGATGGCAGGGGCACAGAGAAAGGCACAAAGACAGGGCAGAACTGGTGGATTAAGAGAAAGTTCGAGGCTGGAACACCAGCCCTGACCTTGCCACTGCTTGGCTCTGTGACCCTGAATGAGTCCCTGACATTTTGAACCTGTTTCCCAACTGAGTGGTAGCTCCTGTCCAGCCTCAGGCTGGAGCTCTTGGTCCCCTGTGAGGAAACTGGATGAGGGACAGAGCCTCGAGGATAGCCGAGCCTCTGGGGCTCAGCAGAGACTGCTGGGCAGCACACAGATGGACAGACTGGGGCACATACACAGACCAAGTGTGGGCTCTAGAAGCTGAATACAGGGCTCCGAGGTGCCCTATCTCTTCACATACTTGCCAGTGTACACACACACTTACTTCAAAAGCCCCTTCACCATAACCACACAGCGGGACAGCGTCAGGGAGGTGGCGGAGGCGGACCTGGGGCAGAATCAAGAGAGGTGCTAAGGGACTGGCTGGTGGGTGTGCATAGTTATCATTCAACCCTACTCTGCCAGGGACCCTGGGACTCATCGCCTTCAGAGCTCTGGAAAAGAACTTGGCTCCTCCAAAAGCAGTCTCATGAAGATGGTGGCAGACAAGGAATTGGCAATAAAGTCTCCCAAAGTTTTCACCATGATGGTAAGAACTGCCTCACTACCCAAGTGCCCTCCAACCAAAGTTCCTAGGAGGCTGAGCTGGGGCCTATGGAGGGGTGGTGGTGAAGGTGTCCCCAGGCTGAGAGAGCATTAGGCTAGGGAACAGAGGGATATGAAAACCTAGACCTGCTGAGACCTCAACATGCCCAGGAGAAGGTGTGTCCTGGATGACTTGGTCCACCAGGGCTACCAAGGGCTTTGGGGACCAGCATCTCATGCCTCTCTCCAAGTTTCCTTCACTGCCCTCAGGCCTGGACACCAGTGACCTGCAAGGAAGAGCTGGAGGAGAGCCTTCAGCCTGGGGAATGGGGCAGGGAAGGGCAACCTCAATGCTAGGCAAATCAAGACAGGTGGGGAGACTGAAAGGAGGGGCCCAAGGACTGAGGCCCCAATCAAGTCCCACTGTGTGAGCACACACCTATTTATACATGGTCAGATTTTCACACAAATTCAAGTATGCTCACCCGGGCTTGCACACTCATGTGCTCTCATATCCCTGTGTATGCACACATATGCCTGTGACAGGTGAGCTCTGGGCCTTGCCCACAGTTCCCTCCTGGTGATACCTTTCACCAGCCTGACACCCCACCCCCAGAGATCTGGTCCTGGGAAGGAAAGAAAGGAGTGAGGACAGGGTTTGGGATCTCTGAGGTGGCATTGGAGAGCAAACCTGTCCTAGGAGGTCTGAGCTGTATCCCAGTATCTCTCCACTACCCGTCCCAACCCAAGAGCAGGCTCAAAGCCCTATTGGAAGACTGGTGTGGGGCTCAGCTCAGAGCTCTAAGACAGTCCTCACCTGAAGGGCCTCTTCCACTTCTCACCAGCCTCACTTTCTAGGAATTCTGGCTCAGCAGGCAGGGTCAGAGTCATCTCAGCCTTCTCCCTGATCTCATCGCCCAGGATGTCTGTGCTCCTGGGAGAGCGAATGGAACTCAGAAAGGCCAAGGGACCAGGCCAGTCCCTCCCCACCCCAGGGCCCCACATGGTGAAGATGTGCAGACCCCCTGATGAGGGATCTGTGTGGGTGCACCTGTGACAGACCGCGTGCTGGCTCCTATGACCACGCGTGTCTACATATGTCCTGTGACCTCGGCCTACGTGCCCCCTCCCCACCGTGGCTGTGCACAGCAGCATGGGTAACCGCAGGCAGGTGTGGGGCAAGGCAGAACTGTTGGCGGTGGCCCAAGAGCAGGGCACTCCAGAGCACACAAAGCAAAGTCAGCGTGGGAGGCTCCCAGTACATCACATCACTCTTACTCGCTGATGCTCACTGTCCTCTTGGCAGCCTTCTCCAGCTCCTGGGACATCAGCACCTGCTTGGCCCTGGGAATATAAAACTTCCTGGGATCCACACCCAGGATGCTGCCACCTTCCCGCCAGGGCGAGAGTGGGTCCTCTCTCCAGGGTTAGGGACATGGGGTTACTGTCCCGGGAGGAATGGATGGGACGCTCCCCAACAGGGGCTGTGGTTGCTCGCCTCCCCGAGGTGCGGGACCCAGCGCTCTCACCTCTCGCGGCGCTCATTGCGCAGGTTGCGCTCGGCGGCCGCGCGCGCCTTGCGCTGCACGAGCCGCTCCAGCAGGTCGCGCGCCTCCTCCTCGAGCCTGCGCAGTGCGGCCTCCTGAAGCCGGGATTGCAAGCGCAGCGCCTCGTAGGCCGCCCGCTGCGCCACGTTTCGCGCGCGCCGCGCATCCACTTGCTGGACTTGCTGCGCTCGTGTCTCCTGCAGCTGCACTACCCGAGCCTCCAGAGCCACCAGCCTGGAGCAGGGGACGAGCCAACGTCACTGCCCAGTGGGAACGGGTCTCACAGCTGGGACTGACTTGCCCGTGGCCACGCACCAGCCAAGCGGCTTAAGGCAAGTCTCCCACCTAGCCGTACCCCCTCATATCCAGCGGTTCCGGGCGTTTGGGGACGAGGGGAAAGCTGTCGGGCTCAGATGGAGACACGCAGGATCAGGTCACCCTGTTCCCCCTCCCGGGCAGAGATGGCTGGGAGCCTCCCAGACGTGGGCGCGGTCCTTCTGGCACCTTACCTGCTCTGCCGCTCCTCCAGTTCGGACTCCAGGGCATCCAGGGCTGCGCTCTTTTCCACTACCTGGTAGGCCATCTGGTGTGGTAAGGGCCGGACAGGTGGGCCTCTTGGAGAGCTTCAACCAGGGTCTGCTACTCCACCCACCCACCCCCTTACTGAGGCGCAGGTAGACTTAAGAGTCTGGCACAGAACGCACTGCTGTTTCGTGGAACAAATGGAAGGGCCTTAGGCTCTGGACTCTAACACCTGAGTTTCACTCCTGACATGGCCACTCATTTTCCCTGTGACCCTAGGGTAGTCATTTAACCTCTCAACCATCTGTTTCCTCACCTGTAAAATGGGAATGATAGTGCTTACCTAATAGGGTAACACAGGAATTATTATGAGAAATAGTTTTTCAAATAATGACCAATTTTTCATTTTTCAATATAACACTTATGTGTTTCATGCCTTGTTCTGAGCATTCTACACATATTAACTTAATCCGCATAACATCACCGTGAGGTATGTAATGCCATTCTCTCCATTTTACAGAGAAAGACATTGACACAAAGAGGTTAAATGTCTTGCCCAAAGTCACACAGCTAAGTGGCAGAACTGAAATTGGAACCCAGGGCTGGTCTACAGGAGGGGAGGGGTTCGAGGGATGTGGGTTCTGTTCCCCTGGCCTACCGGAGAACAGATCATAGAGAGTGAGAAGGAGCCCTGAACAGAGGCACACAGGCTAAGAACAGGAATGGGCTGTTAGAGCACCAGGCCTAGACTGAATACTGGAGGTGCCCCACAGCCCAAGAGTGGGAGTGAGGGTCATCTCATCTATACCCCTGCCTCACTGAATAGTCCTTCAATCTAGAGCCAAGAGCTGGGTAAGCCACAGAGATAAAGTTCAACTTTCACCTTTTGGAGCTGAGGGATCAGTGGGAGAGACAGACCCCAAGCAAAGCAGTTCCCTCACCAGTGTGGCAAGAGGAACCTGATGAAATACCAAGGATGGGGGCTCTATTGCTAACCTTTTCCTGTGTTCTTTCTCACATGGGTGGGCCTGGTGAAGGACAGATTGAGGAGCAAGGTTGGTACTCTCCACCTGACATGACTCCCTATGTGAGTGGGCCTGGGGAAGGGCCCTAAACACACAAGGCAGAGAGGCCCTACCTTCATAGCTGGCTTAGTTTATAACATTTACAATTTCTTTCACCACTAAGCAATCTGACTACCACTTTCGCTTTCTCACCTGTCATTTACTTTCATTGATGTTTCAGTATTCAGTATTTTTTTTACTTGATGCTTTTCAAAATTCAAATAGTAGAGATGGAAAACACATTAGTGGTTAATAGGAGTTAGGAATGGTTGAGGGAAAGGGGTAAGTTGTGACTAAAATAGGGTAGAGAGAGATCTCTGGTGATGAAATAGTGTTGTATCTCAATGTTCACACAAAAGTACACATGTGACAAAATCACAAAGAACTATGGATAGTTCATACCACTATCAATTCCCTGATTGTGTGTGCTATAGTTACGTACGATGTAAGCAATGGGGGAAACTGAGTAAAGGGTACACAGGACCTCTCCATACTGTCTTTGCAGCTTCCTGGGAATCTATTATTTCAAAATAAAAAGTTAAAAGAGTAATACATGTTTGTTGTGACATGTGTAATAGTACTAACAATGAAAGAAAAAGCCCCTCCCCATCCCCTGGCATACCCAATGGGAGCTAACTGGTGTGTGTCTGAGGGAGTGCTGAGGGCCAGGGGTGTGGAGAAGTATCCCATACAAAGGGAACCATGAGCTCAGACACAAGAGAGTGGCCAGACATATATATATACCAAACTGATAACAGGAAGAGGTGGTAAAAGAGGCATTTACTTTTTTTACTCCATGGGCTTCTGTTCTCTTGAAATGTTCACAACAAGCATGTATTGTGTATTGCTTGTCTTTTATTAATGGAAGTCATTCTTATTATTAAAATATATCACCCTAGTGCTATATGAAGAATGGATGGGGGTGCCAAGGGAGGAGTCATCCAGGATGGAATGAGGGTAATCTGGACCAGGTCAGATATGGTACAGGAAACAGAAGTTGATGGATTTTGAGGCAGGATTTATGATCTAGTGACTAGCTCAGAACAGAGGGCTGAGAGGGGTCAGGGATGCCACCAGGTTTCCAGCCCAGTGACTGACTACCAGTGGAGGGGTGCATGATCTACCTCATTCATCACTTAGTCTACAAATATTCATTAACATGGACTGTGGAGAGAGGCCCCAGGGACACAGTGGTGGCAAACCAAAACATTCCGGTCCTTGGGGTGCTGACAGCCCAGAAGGGGACTCAGATGTTTCAGAACCACTTCTCAAGTGTCAAGTTGTAACTACAACAAGACTCTGAGGGAGAGGCTCTCACTGGGTTCATAGCCCCATTCCCACACTAGTTAGGCAAGTGACTTGGCGTGCCATACATAACTGGATATGAGTTTACTGGCCTATCTGTCTCCTCCAGTGGACTTGAAGCTCCATAAGGCCAGGTCTTAATTATGCTGCATTCCCTGTGCCTTGCATATAGCAACCGTCGTTAAATATGTGTTGAAAGAATGGACAGCACAGAAGGTGGATTCGTGTGGGATGGCATTCAAGTCCTGGCTCCACCTCTCTAAGCCCCAGTTTCCTCTGCAGCCATAAAGGTATGGAGGATTAGCTGAAATGATGCTTAGCCCTGCAGGGAGTGCCTGGAGGGAGTCACCTCAGTGTGGTGTTGGCCATATTACAGGGGTGATGGTGAGTCTGACTTTAGATGTGAAGTCCAAAAAGCAGCTGAACAAGAGTGTCTGGCAGATGGGTCTGGGAGTCAGCAAACAGAAAATTTCTGAGGTTGTGGGAATGAGTGGAGGAGGGAAAGGAGCCAGAGAAGGAAGTATAGAGGCAACAGGAAAAGAAATGAAAGGAACCACCCAGCCGGTGTGGCTTGGTGGTTGAGCGAAGACCCATGCACCAAGAGGTCACTGGTTCGATTCCCGGTTGGGGCACATGCCCAGGTTGTGGGCCCGATCTCCAGTGGGGGGGCGTGCAGGAGGTGGCCAATAGATGTTCTCATCAATGTTTCTATCTCTCTCTCCCTCTCCCTTCCTCTCTCTTTCAAATCAATAAAGAAAAAAAAAATTTAAAAATGAAATGAAAGGAACACCAGGAGAGTGTAGTGAAACAAGCCAAGAGACACCATGGGGGGGGTTAGCAGCAGTGTCAGGTGGAGGTGATGCACCCTGTCATGGAGATGGACCACCTTACTCATTTAGTCTGTAAATGTGTATTGAACATCAACTGGTGGTAGGCTCTGGGGTTGGCAGGGCAAGTGGTGAGCAGAGCAGGCTAGACCATTAGGAAGGGGGAACAGGCTGCCTGGCCCTGTATACCTCACATTCCTCCCTGAGCTCTCACCTCACTTCTTCCAGCTGCTGTTGGAGCCCACTTCATCTGGGCTGCCAGAGCCAAGCTAGAGAGCACTCTGACCATCTGGCCTTAAGGCACTGGAATTGGGGAACGTCTCCCTTGGACTACATGCCCAAAGTCCTGGATTCTGGCGCCACCCCATTCTCTCTCAGACCCTTGCCCAGCCTACCTCACCACAGACCAGCCGGAGCCCTGCCTTCTCCTCTTGCCATTTCATCCTCAGAGTGGCTGGTGATGGGACTTGGTCTGAGTTAGACCTCGACTCCTCCCTGCCAACCAATCAAGAGAATGTTGTTCACTGTCCCTCCATTTACCCAGGCGATGTGTATGAAAAGCCTGAAACCAGAACCATGCACTTTCTCCTGAGGAAGGAGTAAACCAAAAAGCCAGTAGAGCAAAGAGCACATCTCCAGAAATTGAAGCTGTCCATGACTCCTCAGCTCTGGGAGTCCCCCACAGCTTGGTTTCCATGGCCAGGACCCTCTTTTAGAAGCACCTCCCACCTGGCCAGTGTGGCTCAGTGGTTGAGCATTGACTCATGCACCAAGAGGTCGCCGGTTCATTCCCAGTCAGGGCACATGTCCAGGTTGTGGGCCAAACCCCCAGTGGGGGGCATGCAGGAGGCGGCCAATCGATGTTCTCTCTCATCGATGTTTCTCTCTCTCCCTCTACCTTCCTCTCTCTCTAAAAATAAAGAAAAAATTTAAAAAAAAAAATTGAAGCACCTCCCAACTCTGAGCCCCAACCCATGCCTGATTCTCATAGTAAAGATGAGAATCTTTACTCTCTCTTTAGAATAGATAGCAAGACCCTTTCTGTAGGGAGACAGACAGAAAGGGAAAAGATGAGTGTGGGAGTGGGAGGGGAAGGAGATGGGACAATGGCAGAGATGGAATGAGATGGGTAGGAGAGAAGGACATTCTAAGCAGCTGACCTTGGGGAAGGCAGAAGAGCTAGCATCCCTCTCTGCGGGGTAACAGCCAGGGGCCAATGATGTGCCAGGGAGAATATGAACCCAGCATGAGCAGTGGGGGCAGGGCCTAGGCACAGGCAGCCTATTGTGACCACAAACACACACACACTCACCAAGGGCCCTGGTGGGTAGTAGGAGTGACATCATTTGGCTCTGGCTGCAGCTTGTCTGAGAACTGAGCCAGCAGCTCAGCCTTCTCTAGGAGACGGTTATCTAGGGATGCAAGAGGGTGAGCTTGGGGCAAAGACAGACACTTAACAGCAGACTCAAGGCATAAAGGTTACCTCTTTGGCGGAGGAGGCTGCAGAAGCCCAGGGGTGCAGAATAGGAGAGCTACTGGTAGATTGGGTTCTACCCCTTGCAGCTCTACCTGGACCTTCAGCCTTGGAACAGCCTCCTCACAGCACTAGCCCCCAGACCCTCCCTGGAGAAGACCTGCTCTCCCAGGGACAATGAAGGATGACTACCACTGGGGAAGGAGATAACTGGGCATGCCCACCAAGGGTCTTGAGAAAGGAAGGGGTCAGGGATTGATTCCCCCAGCCCCAGGGCAGATCATGGCCCCAAAGAGTGATGAAACAAACTGAGCTCCACCGGCCTCTAGGGACTTACTTCCCCTCCAGGGGCTCTAACTTTCTGGACTAAAAAACAATCCTGGCCCTGGCTGGTTTGGCTCAGCGGCTAGAGCATCAGCCTGCAGTCCAGAGAGACCCGGGTTCGGTTCCTGCTAAGGGCACATACCTGGGTTGCAGTTTGTCCCCAGCCCTGGTTGGGTCGCGTGGGAGGCAGCCACTTGATGAGTCCCTTTCACATCGATGTTTCTCTCTCTCTCTCTCTTCCTCTCTCTCCCTCCCACTCTATCTGAACAAAAAATGGAAAAATGTCCTTGGGTGAGGATAAAAAAAAAAAAAACAATCCTGACTTCCATGGTGAAAGGTTCCTCTCTCCCCTTTCCCCCATCCCAGCCAAAACAGACAGCCCTTGAGCAATTATTGAGCAGACCTCCTCAAGTTTGGTAGTTTCTGCAACAGACCCTGAAACACACCCCCTCCACACCCTCCATGGTCACTTCCTCTTTTTTCACCAATTTCAGGGTAAGGTGGGGGTGATAAGCCTAGGCCTAGCTCCTCAGCAACTTTCCCTCACCCAGTCCCCTCACCTCCACTAAGGTAGCAGGCCAAGTTCTCACACAAAACCGCAGCCCAGCCCCAGGGTACTACATTGGCCCCCCCAGCAAGTCTAAAGATGCCGTTTTGCCCAGTTTATGCATAAGAAATCTGATGCTTAGGAATATGACCTGCCCAAGACTACAGAGAAGACTGTGTCTGATTTCAGTCCTCTAGAGTCTCTCCAGTCCCACACATTTGCAGCTGGCAGGGAGGGAATGTTGGTGGGGAACAGTTGGTTAAGCTTCAGCCAAGATTAGGCCCAGTGATGGAGATGGAGGGATTGTGAGGAGACTTTCAACTCAAGACATAACAATCTCAGGAGACCAGAAGCTCAACACACATATGCATACCTATTTATCCAGCTTGACCTACATACCCCCTCCTAATCAGCCACCCAGAAACTGTGAGAATCTGGCTTCCAGGGCTCAGCTAGCTCCCTCCTGCAGCCTGGGGCTGGCTCCCTGTTTCTCCCTCAGGCCAGGGTTGCCTGTCACAGAGGCACTCCAAAAACCTGAGCCAGGATCATCTATCAGTGGCAGAGCCTGAAACTCTGAGTTTCCTTCCTAGGAATTCAGTTTCATTCCTTCCCTATGGGAACCAAATGCACCGAACAGGCTCTACCTTGGGGACCGCCTGGCAGGGGAAGCACAAGAGACCCTACAAAACGAACACTGACTGATGAACAGGTGCCTAAGAAGCACAGCTCCTGGGAGGCAGAGCCAGGCACCAGGAGGAGCTCTGTCCAGGAAGGTGCTTTAAGCAGAGCCCGGACTGCAAAGAGCTGGGATGTGGCTAGTTGGAGATAGGGGTGCCGCAGGCCCAAGACTTTGGAGGTGAGAAGGCGTTGGTGCGCTTGCGTCACTGCCGGAGAAACCACACTCCCGGACCCCTGTCCCCTCCAAAGCCATCTCCTAACCCCCCCGAGGCGCACTCACAGGCCGGCACCAGCTCCAGGAACAGTGCCTTTTGAGTGCGGTCCCGCTGCCGCAGCTGCCGCACGATGTGGCGTTTCCAGCGGGCGGCGGGGGCTTCCGTGCCATTGGGCCCCGCCATGGCCGCTCTTTCCCTCCTGGCCCGCTGGCTAGTGGGTCCTTAGAAGACTGGGGGGCGGGGCGGGGCGGGGCCTCCAGGGGACTCCGTGACGTCAGGGGGAGGACCGCAGCGGGGAATCCCCGGGTTGTACCAAGAGCGTACTTGGGAGGAGAAAGAAACTCAACCGTGGCAGGAAGTCGCCCCAGAGTCTACACCACGGGGACCCCCCAAAAAATTCTCACCTAAGTTGAAGCTCCTATTGCTGCCAGGGGTAATAAGAGGAACTCGAGGTCGGAGCCTCCGGGGCGGCTTCCCCCGTGCCTGTTGGCGCGCTCCGCAGGCGGGGCCTCCGATGCCAGTGCTCCTTAACCCCACCGCGCCCGGACCGAATTCACAGCAGAGACGTTTGCCCACGCCCCCCTCTGGACCTGGCAGAGCTTTGTGGTCGGGACCTGGTGACCTGCTCACACCTGGCCCCTGCCGTCAAGGCACTGAGGATCTGTGAGGAGAGGCGACAGAGACACAAGGCAAAAACAATGGCAGCGAGATAAAGCACAGGGGAGGAAGGAACCGAGGGGAAGAGGCCCAGCTTACTGGAGATGATGGCATTTGAGTTGGGTTGAGAGGGATGAAATAGGAGTTGACTAAGAAGAAAGAGAAAAGGACTCCGGGCAGCAAGAACAAGTGCAAAAGTTCGATGACATAAAAACTCTCAGCGGATTCGGGCCTGAAAGGACAGGAGGCAGAACTGCCCTTGTGGGGAGTGAGGTTTAGGGGTCCAATTTGTCGCAGAAAATTTAGGTCCCTGAGAGTTAAAAGGATGCAGCTGATTTCATCCAGCAAACCTCTGGCCCAGAGTGATAAGTGGCTGAGCTGGTCAGCAGCCTACTTTCCTGATTCAGGGCTCAACTAATGGTTCACTTTATTTGGTTGGCCTCTGGAGGAGCAGCAACATCTCTTCCAGGTACACTTGACAGTAAATCCTGGGCTGCAGGGAGTTATAATAAAATTATCTCCTGCAAGACCCCTGTCCAGAGCTCTGCAGACACAGGCTGGTGTGAAGAATTAGAAGGAGGAATTCACTGGGCCCAGGCTTATCCTGGGATACACTGTGTAAGGCCCCAGCAAGCCCTGCTCTCTGTGAGTGAATGCAGACCTGTTCATCCCTAGGAAATAAGAGAAATTGGGTGATGTTGGGGAGTCAGGCCGGCCTTGGAGGTGACAGGTTTGTTGAGATGCAGGTGATCGGTCACAGGACTTGGAAAGCAGTAAATGCCAGTGATACCCCAGGAGAGTATACCCTGCTCTGCTTTGAAGCCACAATGAACTGAGCTCAGTGCCCCCATCTTTGACTCATTTCCTTTGCACATGTTTTTTTGAAACGCCTTCCCCTCTAGTTGGCCTGGCTGCTGTTCCTGGGTCACCTCCTCCTGCCCCTGCACTGAGTTAAGGCTTCTCTGTCCTCAGTGTCAGCCCAAGCTCCTGTCTATTGAAGGAGTGGGTGGTAGGTGGTAACTCACTAAATGGCATGTTCAGGAGAAAAACACTGGACCCATGAAGACCTATAGCCAACTGACAACAGTGATGAATTTCATTTAGGACTGACTCAAGGGGATACCATCAAAGGAACTGGGGCTGTGGGCCTTGAGGGTATGTTAACAGGGCTCTGCCTAGTTGTGAGGTACAAAGCTGCTATTTTTCTCAGGTGAGGAATCACATTGGGATCAAGGGTTCCTAACCCTTTTTTGACTCACAAAACATTCCTAGGAAATTTTAAATAATTTTGTCATTTTTGAATAGTATGCAATAACTATTTTGATTTAAAATATCTTCTGTAGCCCTGGCTGGTTTGGCTCAGCGGTTAGAGCATAAGCCTGCGGTCCAGAGAGACCCGGGTTGGGTTCCCGCTAAGGGCACGTACCTTGGTTGCAGTTTGTTCCTGGCCCTGGTTGGGTCATGCGGGTAGCAACCACTCAATGTGTCCCTTTCCCATCGATGTTTCTCTTCCTTTCTCTCTCTCTCTCTCTCTCTCTCTCTCTCTCTCTCTCTCTCCTTCTCTCTCTCTCCCACTCTATCTGAACAAAAAGTGGAAAAATGTCCTCGGGTGAGGATAAAAAAATATATATATCTTCTGTCTTGTCCAGCCGGTGTGGCTCAGTGGTTGAGCATCAACCCATGCACCAAGAGGTCACCGGTTCAATTCCCGGTCAGGGCACATGCCCAGGTTGTGGGCCTGATCCCCAGTGGAGGGCATGCAGGAGGTGGCCAATCGATGTCCTCTCTCATCAATGTTTCTATCTCTCACTTCCTCTCTCTCTAAAATCAATAAAGGGGAAAAAAAACCTTCCGTCTTTGGACTATGAAAGATTGTATTATAACGTTCACTTAAAGTAAAATTTTACCAAATAAATAAATACAATTTTAGATAATATTCATAATACGTGAAGACAAATTTCTATTTTTCACATTTAGCATGATATTTCATTTGTCTTTAATTATGTTAGAAAAAGATTCTATCACCAATAAATATAAAAAATGAGCCCTGGCCGGTTTTGCTCAGCGGTTAGAGCATCGGCCTGCGGTCCTGAGAGACCCGGGTTCGGTTCCTGCTAAGGGCATGTACCTCGGTTGCAGTTTGTCCCCGGCCCTGGTCGGTTGTGCGGGTGGCAGCCACTCGATGTGTTCCTTTCACATCGATGTTTCTCTCTCTCTCTCTGTTCCTCTCTCTCCCTCCCACTCTACCTGAACAAAAAATGGAAAGATGTCCTCGGGTGAGGATTAAAAAAAAAAAAAAAAGATTATATCATGATTTAGAGACCGAAGGTACTTTAGAACATAGTTTGAAACTTGCACACGGGTTAGGCATCTCTCAGCAGCCAGGGTGATTGTTTAAAACCCTAAATCAGGTTATGTTATTCTTTTTTTTAGTATGTTTTCATTGATTTTATTGTTTTTTAGAGAGAGAGATAAAAACATCGATGTGAGAGAGAAAAACTGATTGGCTGCTTCCTGCACGCCCCACACTGGGGGAATAGAGCCTGAAACCTGGGCATGTGCCCTGACTGGGAATTGAACCGGGACCTCTCAGCCCATGGCAGGATGCTCAATCCGCTGAGCCACACCGGCCAGGCTAAATCAGCCTATGTTATTCTTACTTAAAACCCTCCTAAGGCTTTCCAGCATATTCAAAGCAAACCACAACCCCTTTTTTGTGGACTTCAAGACCCTGCTTGATCTGGTTCCTGCTTATATTTCTGACCTTACCTGTTTCTACTCTGTGAATAATGCCTTGTTCGCAATACTAAAATCACTGCCAAACTCAGTCCCATTGTGGCAGCACCACCCTGATTGGCCCCTATTCCTGGTGCTTTTCCTCTAAAACTTTTAGGGGCTGGCACTACCCCCTCTTTCAGAAGACCTTTCCTGTTCACCCAGTCTGAAAAAGCCCCATCCCAGTCAGTGTCCACAACATCATCTAGTTGCTCTTCCTTTCAGAGCACTTAACACTCCTCGAAAGGACCTTGTTTCTGTGTTTGTTTAGTTGTTTATGACTCATCTCTCCTCCCAGGCTGGAAGTTTCAGGAGAGCTGGCATCAAGTCAACCTTGATCACAGCTTTTTCTTCAGTACCTATAATGGACCCTGGCACCAACTGAGTAGATGATTAGTAAATATTTATTGCTGTTGCTGTAGTATCAAAAATATACAAAACCCATTTTCAGTTTAGAGTTCAAAATTGTAGCTATTTTTGATTGAAAAATAAATTACATGCACACAGCCAAAATTCAAAAGCACAAGAGTGAGGGAGGCTCTTTGCCTCGCACCTTCATACTGGTCAGGATAGGACAAGCTGTTCTGTGGTATTTTTGTTATTGATTACTTAATGCAACTATTTTTTACTATCTCTCATGATTCTGAGTGTTGGCTGAGTTCAGCTGGGTGATTCTCACTTTGAGTCTCTTATGTGGTTGCAGTCACACCAGGACTGGAGTCATCTGAAGACTGACTCAGCTGGGCTGGTTGCTAATGACGGCTCGCTTGTTTGGCTGGCAGGCAGTTAGCAGAAGAAGAATTAGAACTGAAAACCAAATTGCCTCCATGTGGCCCCTCCAAGTGGCTTAGGTTTCTCAGAGCACGGTGACTACATTCTGAGAGGCAGTGTCCAAAACAAACATTCCATTGATCAAAACAGTCACAGTCCAGCACAGATTCAAGGACAGGAATCAGAGACCCCAGCTTTCGATGAAAGGAGTATCAAAGAATTTTTGGCCATCTTTAATCTACCACATGTGGTACCAAATAAACCTTCATATCTCAGTGGCTTAATGCATATCACAGGGTGGGGTAGACAATGTTGGTATGCTCTTCTCCTCCAGCAGTAACTCAGATCCAAGAGGCTTCCACTCAGTGTCTTTGTCATCTCAAAGTTCTTTTATCCCAACCGCTCAGGTGGGAGAGAGGTTGGGAGTTGGGGGACTGGGGAAAAGATTCACACTGACACTTAATTATCTTGGAGCTGAAGTGACACACTCCTCTGCCCACATTCCCATTGGTGAGATCACATCTCCTAGGAAGGTGGGGAAATGTAAGCTTACTATGTTCCCTGGAAGAGAAATATGGGTGTGAACATATCATTGTTGCCAACACACACTAATTTCCCAGTCTCCTTCTCTAGAATCACCACCATTAATAATTTAGCGTGTATCCTTCTATGAGTATGTATGCATATACAACCAAACATATTTTATGGAAAATAACAAGTGTTATGTGGGAGATGTGGAGAAATTAGAACCTTTGTGCATTGTTAGTGGGACTGTAACATGGTACAACTGCTGTACAGAACAGTCTGATGGTTTCTCAAAAGGCTAAATATAGGACTACCATATGACCCAGCATTTCCACTCCTAGGTGTATATCCACAAGAATTGAAAGCAGAGCCCCATCAGAGTAGCTCAGTTGGTTGACTGTCGTTCTATGCACCAAAAGGTTGTTGGTTCGATTCTGTCAGGTCACATAGTTGGGTTGTGGGGTTTGGTCCCCCAGTGGGGGCACATATGGAAAGCAACTAATAAATGTTTCTCTCTCTCTATCTCTCTCTCAGCATCTCCTCATGTGAGGATTGAAAAGAAAGAGTTGAAAACAAGGACTTGAACAGATAATTGTATACT